CACACACACACACACACACACACACACACACACACACACACACACACATCCCAGAGGTATACACCCTCCTGTCTCTCAACTTTTGCCCATGCTGTGTCCCAGCTTGGTCAACTGGTAAATCTGCCATCTCCTCCCAGGCATTCCTTCCCCTGTGTTCCCCCAAGGCCTTTGCCAAGCCCTTCATTGCTGTTGACTGAGTGGGTGCCCGGCTCGGGAAAGCCCGCAGCATGGGCTGTAGCTTCTCATCCTTGAGCCCAGTGCCCTCGGCATGCCTGGCTTGGGACAAGATTCTGAGCGATGACATGTGAATGAATGATTCAAGTATATAAATGAGGCATCTGAGAACATCTTACTGCAGGGCCGTGCTGCAGCAAACCCAGGACTCACCTTTGTAGAGTGGTGTCTCGCGAGACTTGTTGGAGATGTCAGGCTCTGCCCCAGCCTGGAGCAGTGACAGCAGGCAGTCCAGATGTTCTCGACATGTGGCCAGGTACAGAGCCGTCTCTTCCTGCAGTGTGCGTTGATCGATGGCCCCCGGGTATGCTGGAGAGAGACCAGGGACTCCATGAAGAATGGTACCCACCCTCCAACACATAGACCTCCTAAGCCCCGCACTTCCAAAGATTCATCTGTCATGGGTTCTTTTTCCTTGTCCCTTCACAGAGCTATTTCAATGTCCCGCTACCTCCTCTGGGAAGCCTTCCCTGATTGAGCCCCCAAGTCCTCAAAGTTCTTGTCTTCTGTTGCCCTCCCACCAGTCACTGCTGAGCACGGCGGGAGAATGCTCAGTGGGCTCTCTTCGGGGGTGTGGGCTGCCTGAGCGCCTTGGTGACCCCCTCCTGCAGGTATTACCCATCTGAATCTGGCAGGGGGGTGAGAGGGAATAGGGTGAGCTTAGGGTCCCACAGCTGGTAGGGACAGCCTTGGCAGGGCACTGCAGCAGCTGCGGTATTTTCCACACCAAATCATCCTCTGGAACATTCTGGAACAAGTTGGCTGCGGCTGCCCCCCAAAGTCAGTCCTCCCTCCTTCCTTTTCTAGGAATCAGGCTGCTCTGCCTGGGAGGCCTGGAGAGATGGAGTCAGGGGTGGGAACAAGCACCCCGCCCTGATGGTCCACCCTGTCCTGTTCCAGAGCTCGAGCCCTTTTCCCTGATGGCGTCCCCACCCCTGGCCCACCAGCGCCGCCTCACCTTGCTGCAGGACCTTCAGGCAGCCCAGCTGGCCGTAGTAGGCAGCCTCGTGGAGTGGCAGCCAACCTTCCTTGTTGGGCTCCGCGAGGTTCTTCCCATCCTTGATCATGACCTTCAAGGCCTCTTCATTGCCTTCCTTGATGGCCTTCAGCACAGGGTCCATGGCCCTGTGAGAGCAAGAAGTAGCTCCAGAAGAGGCCAGGCCAAGGCAAGCTGGTGGTCAGGAGCCCCTGATGGCTTGTCCCAGCTGGTCCCAGGACAGGTGCTCAGTTCCTACAGCCCAGTGGCTATGAGAGACTTGGGCATCCCCTCTGTCCCTGTGGCTTTCCATGGCTGAAGCCGATGTTATACCAAGAGGATTCAGGCTGGGAGCCCCAGTGGCCAATGGCGTGGCGGATATGCCATCCATGAATCCAAGGCTACCTTGACGCAATGCCGTCCTCCAGGGGGCGCTCCACTGCACAGCAGGCCTGGGAGTAACCCCAGGGCTCTCCGTAGCACCCCTTCTTTTGTCCATCCTTATCCTCACCCCTGGTCCATCTAGCAGATTGTCTTAAAAGTGTAAATCCTTGACAGGTTAATTCCTGGGAAGCCTTTACAGTGTAAAACTTTGAAATGTTAAGAATTCAGCGCTGGCCTTGAGCTGAAGAGCTCAGGCACAGCACCCAGGCCCAGAGTTCAAGCCCCACAACTGCCAAAAATAAAAATGAAAAATTCAGGGCTTATGTGAAGTACATCTCTGCTCGGCTTGTTAAAGTCACTCTGTTCATTCATTCATTCTTTGAGCCCCCCTCCCCATCATCAATGAGTTAGTGTGACTCCCAAACATACTTCCCAAAGAGGAGAGACTGGAGGCCAGCCTGGTGCCCAGCACTTCCTCTACGGGAGGGGGGGGGAGGAGGGGGAAGGGGGCAGGGGTGCTTCGGATAGGATGGGCTCTAAGGGTCTCCAACCCCAGCCCTCGCCCCCTGTCTGACACTTACTCCAGCACCCGAAACACAAAGCACTTCCTTCTGACTCGGCCTTTCTGGTTCTTAATAACATCAGCTTTCACATAGCAGTGAAACCGCAAACCCAGCAAGGAACCGATAAGTCTCCACTCAGCACTGCTATGGAGTTCCACTTAGAACAGCCCCTCCCCACCCCCACCTCAGGAAAAGCCCAGAGGGGTAAGTACACACTGCCGAACTGGAAGAGAAGGGCCTGGCTAGCCTCGTGGGTTTGGTAAGGGACACCCTCAGGACCAGCAGCCCATCGTGGGTGCCTCTGCTGTGGCACACAGACCTGGATGGCTTCCCCATGAATTCAGACACAGTCCCTTCCTCATGACGGGGAGGGGCTCACTGGGGGGGGGGGGATGGGCAGGCCACTGGGAACTAGCAAGCTGAATGGAAACTACTTTCCTTCTCCAATCCTGTGTTGCACCGAAGTGGGGTCTGGGGTGGGGGTGGGGGCAGCTCCTCTCCAGCTGTCACGGGGAAGTGGCAGAGACCAGAACAGGGTCTCTCTTCAGACTGCCAAGCCCGGGAAGCTCCAGGGACACGGTGGCAGTAGGGTGGGAAGGAGTGTGCTGGCCAGCGGCCCCTCCGCTCTCTGCAGTAGGATGGGGCACTGGCCCTGGCATCCTCTCTGGGGGCCCCCGTTTTGCTCTTAGCTGCTTCCAAAGTCACTCTGGGGTACAGAGGAGGGAGAAGAAGCAGCTATTCTCCAAGCCCGTTAGCCTAGAGCCCGGGTGCCCGGCAGCTCGAATCCTCTGTGGCTTGGATGATTCTGAATTTTGGCATATGACACCTGAAAACAGCAAAGCCAAACACGAGCTGTGGGTGGAGAGATTTAGGATTTTCTCAGATGGACCCCCCAAAGAGGGACCTGGGGAGGCAAACAGTAGATAGAGAGCACCTCAGTTCTGTGGTCCTGCTCCCAGGTCTTCCATCTGCTGGAAACCCAGATCCAGGCCCCGTGGGATTCCTCAGCACCCAGCCCCACCCGCGATCCTCCAAGGCACCCACTCCAGGAAGACCGTGATCTCTGACCACAGCCCAGCTCAGTGGGGGCAGCAGAATCTAGAAGACACATTTTTGGGTAGACTTGACCTGGAAGATGCCAGCTTGGTGCCTCCTGCTGTCCTGAAGCTGAGGACCTGCTTCCCACCCCCATCCCTCTTGCCACCCCAGGGGGGGGGTGAGCTTGGTCACGGCCCAGGGGCTAGTGGGGGTCACTTACGCCAGCTGGGAGGACTTGAACAAGCTGCTGTTGTACTTCTGCATCACCCCCTGGAACAAGCCCATGGGCGCTCGGGCCGGCGGGGGCTCGGGGGGCACCGCGGACCTGGAGGGTACAGAGCAGGAGTGAAAGAGGGAAAAGTAGTCTGCATAGGAGAAGCAGGTCATGGTGGGAGGCAGAATGAGGATGGAGAGAGAGAGAGAGTGGCTGAGTGACAGACAGACACAGGGCTCTGAACCAAAGCAGATGGCCGAGTCCTCTGTGTGTGCTGGACACAGCTGCTGTGTCTCTGGATTATTTTTGGCCCTTGGAGGAAGCCCTGGGAGATTTAAATGACCATATAAGACAACAATGAGGTTAGCCTCGCCCCCGCCCCTGCCGCCCCCCTCCCCAGCCAACCACAAGGGCAGCAGATAGGAAGCAAGGTGACATTCTTCACCCCACAAGATGTGAGATGTGATCAGAAGCAGGTCAGGAAGGATGGAGGTAGGTCCTAGCCGGGCTGGACCAGAGACCCAGGGGCCAGCAGGAGGCCGGGGAAGCTGATAGGCCAAGCCCTGCGCTGCACCTTGTCAGTCCCTCGAGGAGGGCACCCCAAGCTCCAGACCTGATGGTCTAGAGGTTACAGCAGAAGGCTGCACACACCGGGCCCTGGAGTTAGACACAGGTGCAAATCCAGAGGCTGGGTTAGCCATGTGACCTGGGACAGGTTCACCTTCTCAGGGCCTTAGTGTGAAAAAAGTTTAACTGTTCTAGTTTGGTGCGGAAATGTCTCTTAAAGACTCAAGGGCTGAAGGATTGTGCCTTCTGTCTGTCTGTCTGTCTCTTTCTGTTTCTTTCTGTGTGTCATTCTGTGTCTCTGTGTGTATGTATCTCTGTGTCTGTCTTTGTCACTCTGTGTCTGTGTTTGTGTGTCTCTCTGTGTGTCTGTCTGTCTGTCTGTTTCCTGGCTGCCACAGGTAGGCGGTCTCCTCTATCCCCACGCTTCCCTGCCCTCATGATGCTCTGTCTCACTTTGGGGCTCAAAGCAATGAAGTCAGCAACCACGGACAGAAAACTCTGAAGCCATGAGCCAAAACAAATCTCTTCTCCTTGAAGTTGATTTTTCTCAGGAGTTTTGTCAGATTAACCAAGGCATTCATTTACAGATGAGGAAGCTGACAGGCTGACGGTGTGTGTGTGTGTGTATGTGTGTATGTTGTCCTGAGGAAGCTGACAGGCTGACGTGTATGTGTGTGTGTGTGTGTGTGTGTGTGTGTGTTTGTGTGTTGTCCAGAGTCACATGCCCCAGATCAGTGAACAGAGCTGAGGTTCAGGCTCTCACATCACTTACTCCCCCAAAGGCCTGGCCCTTTCGGGCCTCTTTATTCTCTCTTCAGCTCTAGGCTTCCACATGTGCCTCTCAGTGCCTTCCTCATGTCTCTCTTTCCTCGTTTATAAAATTGCAGGAGGACCAGACTGGAGGTTTCCCACCATCTGTATGGTGTGCAGATTCTGAGCTTGAAAAAGGTCCAAAAGCTGCTGCTATGGGATGGCTATGCCCAGCCCGGCCCAGCCCAGCGCCCCTCTAGGCAGACCCCGAGAGAGCTGCTGTCCAGGCTCTCCCTGCACTTGCTCCTGATCAGGAGAGATGAGTCTGGGGTGCGGTGGAAGGCAGACAAGGCCAGGCCCCTGCTGTGAGCCGGAGCTCTGTGCTCCCCAGGAAGCCCTGGCCTCTCAGTCCTTGCGTTTGTTTGAATGTTTTTAGAGAGATAATACACATTGGTGAAAAACTGCTGTGCAATCCTAAAACTAAGACTGTTTCTGCCTAGTAACAATAGCAGTGGCTCACGCCTGCAATCTTAGCCACTCAAGAGGCTGATAGCTGAGGACCTGGGTTCAAAGCCAACCTGAGCAGACAAATCCAGGAGACTCTCACCTCCCACTAACCACCATAAAACAAAAACAAAAAGGCAAAACCCAACCCAGAAGTGGACCAAAAAGCCAAGCAAGAGCTAGAGGCCTGAGTTCAAGTTTCAGTACACACACATACACCAAGGTTGGTGCTTCGGTGGAGCGCGGAGGCTAACGTGGGTGGCGTGACGGGTCGTGGGTGGCACCCCTGCGCTGGCGTGTAGCGCCAGTGCTTCTGCGTTCATCCCACACCTGGCCGCATTCTGTCCTGTGGCCACCTGGGCGGGGAGGCGGGGTGCACTGCCATTCTGCAGGTGAGGAAATGAGGTGACACCCAGCAGAGATTTCCCACGCTGGCGCTGTCCCAAGCCAATGCCAGGCACTGGGGATGCAGCTCCTGAAGATGGACACAGGTCACAGTCACGGTGGGTGACAAGGACACACACACAGGGGAAGAGCCATAGGCAGGGCTGAGATCAAGGCAGGAGGGCTGAGGCTGGGGGGAGGGGCATTGATTAGGTTCAGGGGCCAGACAGGGCTGTGAGTCTGGCTTGATGGGGAATCGGGCCCCCTAAGAGGCTGCGTGTGCTCTTTTGGATCCAGGCTGGAGGTCTCACTTCTCAGGGGCCTGGGGCAGGGGAATCTCCAGCAGAACCTTTGCTGCCCTGAACCATCAGAGGTGACAGGCAGCTGACCTGGGCAGGATGTGGCTGCTGGCCACGCGCTAGAAGAGGCCACGTGGGGCCTGTCTGGTCGGTATGCCCATGGCTGTATCTCCCAGCCGCTGTGCACCTGTTGGCCATTGAGAAGCCACATCCAGGTGCCTGGATGCACCTAGGCTGCTCAGCGCACAGCAAACGTGGCGGCCTGCTGTGACTTGTCTACCGCGGAGCGCACAGGAGCCCCAGCCAGGTCAGGCTTTGTCAATTCCTGCTTCGTCTTCTTAGAAATGTGACTTAAAATAAAATGCAGAAGTTGAAAGGCCATGAAGAGCCAGCTTCCTGGCCCCCTTCGGCTGGTCTGACTATGGAGCCTGGGTCTCCCTCACTTCAGTGGCATGTAGACCGCTACCATTTTGATCCCAAGAGCGTGGTAAATTACATCTCCAGAGCACTGCATTGGTTTCGAAGTGCATCCGTTTGCTCCGTAGGTGCCTACAATGACACCTGCCCTCCGCTGGGCACTGGGGTCACCAAAGTGAAGAGTACCCCCTCCCCCATCTTAAAGACCTGGCAAAGGAGTTGGGGACACTCAGGAGACCCTCCCAGGGTGGCACCAAAGCTGGCCGAGGAAGCAGTCTTGGCATTGGTGTCCCTGTGACTAGGGGGCTCATGCTGTGGGGACTGGAAGTTTCTGAACCTGACTCGTCATATTTGCATTTTGAAACAGACAGCAGGGTAGACAGTGTTCCAGTGGTGGTAGAGTGCTTGCTTGCAATGAATGGGGCTCTGGGTTCAATCCCTGGCACTATCAGAGAGGGAGAGACAGATAGAGACATAGAAAGAGACTGAGAGAGATGGCCACAAGGTCAATAGAGCAAGCTTTGATTACTGCCATCTTAGGAATAAGGCCATTGGGGCTCAGAAAGGGAAAGCAACTTGCCTAAGCTTGCACAGCCTGTAAGGAATGGTGATAGGATCCTAGGATCCAGCCTCTAAATCTGCCCTTCGCTTTCCACAGCCCCTCCATTCATATCCATTCATTTACTCACCCATTCGTTAGCTCACACGTGACTCTTGGGGCCCTGCCATGAGCCAGCCCTGGGCTCTCAAGGATAGAAGGGGGACTGAAGTCTTTGCCTCCAAGGGATTTTCAGGCAAGTAAGAATTAATTGTAAGTCGTAGTCTGGACTCTACAGGAGTCCTGTGAGAACCATAGGAAGGGTCAGCGGCCGGCTTGCACGGGGAGCCGGTCAGGGCAGCATTTGCTGAGGAGGTGACTTTCAACCTGAGAGAGAAGTGGCCTCCAGGGATACATGGACGTCCTGTTCCAAGGGCTCCTGCAGCTGCGTGATGAAACTGCTACTCTGGGGTGAAACCCACAGGGCGCTTGGCCATGCCTCTGTGTGTGTGTGTGTGTGTGTGTGTGTGTGCCTGTGTGTGTGTGTGTGCCTGTGTGTGTGTGTGTGCCTGTGTGTGTGTGTGTGCCTGTGTGTGTGTGTGCCTCTGTGTGTGTGTGTGTGTGTGTGCCTGTGTGTGCCTGTGTGTGTGTGTGTGTACCTGTGTGTGTGTGTGTGTGTGCCTCTGTATGTGTGTGTGTGTGTGTGTGTGTTTTCGGGGACTGTGACCCTCTGGGGATGGGGGTGGGGTGGATATAATGAAGCCAAACCCCACTTCTAGGTGGAGGAGGAAGAAGCAGAGAGATGTCGGTAGAATCAGCAGTTTGGCTGCCTGAGCTTCGGAGTGCACATGCTCAGTCTGCGTTTTGTCATCTGTTAAACGGGTGCCATAGGCCCTTGGCAGGGCCCTGCCTTCATGCAGGGCATGCCGCTTATTTCTCTGCGGAGCTCACACAGATTCCAGACCCCTGCGGGGAGAGAGGACCTGGCCGCAGCCTCTTCCTCCTCCGTGGCTCCTGGCTGAACCTTAGACCTGAGTCTTAGACAGCTTCTTCCCCCAGAAGTGGGGGAGGGGCTTCGGTTCTCCCATTTCTAGGGGTCTCAGGACCCTCCCCCCAGGGGAAGGGCCCCTTCTTAGGAAGGCTCCCAGCCCCGGGGACCCCGTGCTGCAGACAGGCCCCGGGCGGCAGGCCTGTCTCTGCAGGGAGGTGGCCCCATCTTGATCTGGTCTCCTCCTGAGAAAGAGGAACCTGTGGTCTGACTTCAGCTGAACTGCCTAGAACAGGAACCAGCAGCACCGCTGGCTGCCAGGAACCTAGGCTGGGTTGGGGTTTCTGGTTCCGAGGCTTGATGCTCTCAGCTCAAGAACCTGAGTCCTCATCCTCTTTCTGCCCCCCGCCCCTGCCATGAGACGTGTCCCTCACTGGGGGTGGCCTGGCCTGACAGCCTTGGCCAAGGCCATGGTCACTTTGGGGGAGAAATCTGGAAGGTTCCATCCATGGGGAAACCAAGGCTGAGACACCCATCCCCACCCTATAACCCTGTCAGCCACTCTGGGAAAAGCCTGCTCCCAGAGATTCTTAGTAGAGAAGGAAGAGGAGCTTTTAAGAGGTTGAGTGCTTTGCCAGGGTCACGCAGGGGTCAGGTGAAGACAGTGAGAATTGTTTTTTTTTTTTTTAATTTTAATTTTGGGTGCCAGTCTTGGGGCTTGAACTCAGGGTCTGGGCACTGAGTTTATATACTCAAGCCTAAAGCTCTACCACTTGAGCCACAGCCCCACTTCCGGTTTTTAGATGGCTCATTGGAGATAATCGTCTCACAGGCTTTCCTGCCTGGGTTGGCTTCCAACGACAGTCCTCACATCTCAGCTTCCTGGGTAGCTAGGATTACAGGCGTGAGCCACCAGCACCTGGCGTGTGTTTCTCTGTTTGTTAAAGTGATGCTTAGAATATTTAAAATGATACCCATGGATTGTGGTTAGGGCTGGGTCGTAGTGGCCTGTTGGCGCTATTCTTAGTGTTGATACGGCGGGGCTGAGATGGGGAACTGGGAAGAGGACACAGGGCTGGAAAGATTTGCCCTTTGATTCTGGATGTGTTCTCTCAAGTGGGAAGTGCCTGTCTAAGTCAGAGCCTCACTGCCTGCATTCAAGAACAGAGTGACGGGGCCAGGCAACTCCTGTGTCCGCAACACCCTGTCCTCACCCTGTGATCCTGGACCAGTTCTTCAGTCTTCAGTCTGTCTCAGCACTGAGACAGTCCTGGGACACCCTTGGTCTTTAAGAGGATTAAGTGAAAGGTGTGTGCGCATGGTTCTGCTTTTGTGGAGCCAACCAACCTCACATAAAGCATATTTGCAGGGCAAATGTACGCATTATCCTGCCCATGTAATTGTAACTCCTCTGTACAGTATGTTCACAAATAAAATAAAATTAAATTTAAAAAAAAAGCATATTTGCAGGGCTGGGAAGTTGGCTCAGTGGTAGAGCGCTTGCCTTGCATGCATGAGGCCCTGGGTTCGATTCCTCAGTACCATATACACAGAAAAAGCTGGAAGTAGCACTGTGGCTCAAGTGATAGAGTGCTAGCTTTGAGCAAAAGAAGCTCAGGGATAGTGCCCAGGCCCTGAGGTTAAGCCCCAAATATATATATATATATATATGCATATGTGTATATATACATATGCAGGAAAAAAGAAGTCTCTTCTGAATGTTGCAAACTCATTCCTTATCATCATTCTCAAGGCAGTACAGAGTACGGTTTACTTTACCTACCACGTGATAGGGACTGCAGTCACCTAGAGATGCTTTACAGCATGGGGCATGCACGGAAGTCCTGTGTGAACACAAGGGTGTTTGACGTAAGGCATCTGAGTGTCTGGCTCTGCTATCTATGGGGCTGTCCTGGTCTCAGACTCCATCTGACTCTGAGGGGAGTCTGGCAGGTGCAGTTAGAGTTCAGCAAGTGGAGATGACAGATGTAGATCACCCAGTGTGAGAAGTCCCCCCCCCCATTGACCAGGAGTTTGGTCAGGAGGAAGGGTGTTCGAGGTCTGCAGCTTGTAGGTGCCCTGCAGGCCTGGGAGTCCCCGTTCCACCCAGCAGCCTGGCCTGGCTCACCTGGTCCATGGGTAGAAATGGGCGGGTTGTTGGTTGGTCCGGGTGGGCGCCGTGGCCTCAGTGGGGCCTCGCGTCTTGTCTGCCAGGCTCTGCTCGATGGCCAGCTGGACCTGCTCCTCCTCGCTCAGGCTGCTGTACAAGCTGTATTCCTCATGCCAATGGGCGCTGCCCTGAGCGCTGACCTCCGTCGCCATCTCCTCCACCTCTCACACCGGCCTCCAGAATGGCTGTTCTGGAGGAGGGGGGTCAGTTCAGGGAGGGGACGCCAGAGAGAAAACCCTGTAAGGAGACCAAAGCCTGCCTGGTCACTGCATGTTTTACCAGATAGTTGAGGTTATCCACAGGGGAGGGGAAGTTTTGTTTCCTACGCAGTCACATATTCATTTATGTATTCGTTTATTTGGTCACATGATCTGTGTCCATCTGTCCATCCACCCACCATCCATCTACCCATCCATCCATCCATCCATCCACCATCCAATCCATCCATCCATCCATCCACCATCCATCCATACACACATCCATCCATGCATCTATACATCTATCCATCCATGAATCTATCCATCCATTCATCTACACATCTACTCATCTATCTACCCATCCACCCATTCATCCACCCACCCGTCCAACCATTCATCCATCCATCCATCTACCCATTCATCCATGCATCTATCTACCTCTCTCCTCTATTTACCAATGTACCCTTCCCTCAAGTTACCCAGCTACACATTTATCTTCTTTAATTTCTCAAACATCTGTCTACTCACCCACTTATGTATCCATCCATCTGCCCATCCATTCACCCATCCACCCATGGGCCCAAACTCCACCTACTCCACCCATCCATTTTTCCTCTACCCATCTATTCAGCACCCAACTATTTAGCTCTTCTGTCCCTCAATGCTCATGTGCCTATTCTGCCTTCTCCTCACCCATCCATCCCTCTGTCTGTACACCATGTGTCTATCTTTCTGTTACCCATCCTCCTTTCTGTCTGCCCACTCACCCCTTTATCCTTCTATCCTCTCATCCTTCCACATTTACATTTATCCACATATTCACTCTTCCACTATTCACTTTCCCATTGCAGACAGCACAACTATAGATGTACACATGCATATATTACAAAAAGGCTGTTCATTGAGAAAGTTCTCTGTGTCTAGAGCTCTTCCTGAGAATGCAACACTAGGCAAACAAGAGTGATCCAAACAAACGGCCCCCAATCCTGCGCAGATGGAGCACACGCAGCAGTGAGCACATTCCTTCCTCCCATACCAGCAGCATCCTGGCCTGGCCACTTTCCACTTCGCGGTGGGAGGGCTCACTCTTTGAGACCTCATTAAAACCAGCCATTACAATAGTTCACTGCCTTCCCCAAGAATTCAAGAATGCCTCAGGGAAAAAAAAAAAGTACTGGTGTAGGGAACAGCTTTTAGGAAATGAAATAAAATCGACGCGGCCTGACTTACGTTTTGCCTGACTGACTTGTGAGTGATGCAGGCCAATGGACGGACATTAGAATCAAGAGTAAGGTCGAAACACCCCGAATACCAGCACTATACTCTGGTTTGTTCAACAAATGTGTGTTCCCCTCCCCCACCCCCAGAAACTTTCTCCCCTCCCCCATCCCTTCCCCATTGCTGCTGGAGCCAGGCTTATCCAGCTAGCTCTGGTGTGTGGATGCCAGGGAACAAGGCACGAGCAGACTCATGACCCAAGCAGCCTTGTGTGACAGGCTTTGCTCGTGGTCTTCCCAGGGGAGCTCCTACCTTGCAGCCTGGGCCCCAGGAAAAAGCCAGGTAGTAGGCCGAGAGCCAACCTGCCAACCTGTGTCCCACGGGGCCTGCGGTCCGCAGCCCAGTCTGCCAGCCCTGCAGGACTCAAAGTCTCAGAGCATGGGGGTCGGGGGATGGGGAGTGTTCCACTGTGCTGGGTCCCTCGGGCGCTCATTAACCGAGACCCAGAGGATGAGGAGAGCGCTTCCCAGAGAGAACAGCCAAAAGGCCAGCAGCCAAAGATGAAGGCGTTTCCCTTCATTCATGTTTGGGGGCCGGGGGACGGGGAGGAAAGGCAAATGAAACTCCAAAGCAGTACCTCTCTGTACCCACCAGCGCCGCTCCAGGGAGAAAAGATGGAGACTGCCAGTGGGTGTGGGGTGACCGCAATTCACCCCAACATTGGAAGGGACATCAAGTCGCAAAATTGCTGGGGGCGGGGGGAAGGGATGGTTTTGCTACCAACAAGCTCAAAGCTCCATGGCTAGCTGTACATCCCAGGCAATGAGGGATGCATATGCACCAAGAGCAAGGCCAAGACCTCATCACAGCCCTGTGTCTACCAGCGTGCAAAAGACTCAGCCACAGACGCGGGCCTGGGACAGGGCCTGCACACCACAGACACGAACAGCCTCTGGACACGGCACAGACCCGCCGTGCCAGCCACACAAAGTAAATACTCTCCGTGGGCTCTGAGAACAGACAGACCAGTGAGAGGAATGAGCGACGTCGCTCCCGCTTTGGGAGGGGTGCATGGGGGCCCCTCTGGGGTGGGATGGGGGCATTGCTCCACGTCTCTCCATCCCAGGAGTTGCCTGCTGGGGTTCACTGGAAGAACCCTGCCACGGTACGCGTGGGGTCTGTGCAATTCCACGCCCGTCCATTCTGCTAGAATAACCTCACTGCTTCAAGATCCCTTTCTAAAAGGGCTTGGGCTCCATCTTAGACCCTTGGGTAACCCCCTTTCCCAGGAGGGAGGGCAGGGGGGAAGAAGGGACACGCACACAGACAAAGGCAGGATGGGGGTCCCGGGGAGGAGGTCCCCTGCCCAGCCTCTCACAGGGGTTCTGGTTTAGTCTCTGTGGCAGCCCCCAACTCCGGCTCCATCAAGACCCAGTGAGGCGTTGCTTGGCCCTTCAGGTCTTTCCTAAACACAGCTGGTTGCAGGTCACAGAACCCTTCCTCTACCTGACGGATCAGAGCTCCTGCCCCAGCTTCCTGTCCTCTGAAATCTGGTCCCTATCACTCTTCCGGTCCCCCCACCTCTTCCGGTTCTCACAGCTCTTCCTGCTCCTCCTCCACATGCCTGACCCTCCCTGTGAGGTAGATGGTGCGCTGATCTTCCAATACATCAGAGGGTCCTGCCCCAGTGCCCTTGCTCAGAATGTCTCATGTGTCTCCCTCCTATCTGCACTCAAAATTTCTCCTCCCTCCTCAAGGAACCAGAGCAAGTGCCCCTTTTCTGGGCAGTCCACCTAGATTCTTCAGAAAGAGGAATTCTCTCTGGGCGGAGGTCCGCAGCACACGTGTGCCCTTGACTTTGCCTCCCTCCCCCAAGCTAGTATCTCGTGTGAAAAGGTTGCAGTTCACTTTAAGGCCCAGCCATGTCTCCATTCCCTTGGAACGGAGCTCAGCTTTGAGCACTGTCTCTCTTGTGTGGATGAATTGTGACAAGACAATATAGTCTGGGGGCAGACATGTAGCCAGTTCTGCCTAAACAGAAATATTGCTGGTGTCCCCAGGAAGGATTTTGTTTCCTAACGTAAGGAAGAATAGTGGAGAAAATAATTCCTTGTCCCCAGTCCTGCCTCTGTTATTTGAAGACTTGATGCTTAGAGCGATGGCAGCCATCTTGTGACTGTGAGTTTGACAGTGATTACACATGAGGTCCTTCATTAGAATCATTAGAACCAGGGCTGAGGGCTTGGCCCCCTCTTGGCTTGTTTGTGCACAGGAGGCAGCCCTGGGCCTCTAGACCAGGGAGAGATCTCAGCCTGAGTGAGTTTGATTCCCAGATCCAAGGGGAAAAAATAAAGACTGAAGATCTTTGTGGGTGGATCTGCAGTCAAACCCCTCATGATGGGGGAGGGGGGGCGGTTTCCTGGCCTGGATGGGTCTTGAGAATGGGGTGAGGTGGGGTCCCTTCCCGTGAACCCCCAGCTCGGGGCTCTGGTCCTGAGGTGCTTAACGTTCTTATTTGGAGTTGGGACTGAGAAGCCCAGCTGCCGCATGGCCCTTGTGTCCACACAGGGGAGGGGAGGGGCCTGCAGCCTCCAGGCACCCCATACCTGCTGCCCGGGTCAGGGTCCTTCACTCTATTACAGAAAGAGCCTGGGTTGCAACAGAGAGACAGACGAATCAGCCCCTCCCTCACTCCTGTCCGAGGCCCTCAGTTTCTCCATCTGTGAACAGGCAGGGTGAAAGCTGGGCACTGGGGCTCATGCCTGCAATCTGAGCTATTTAGGAGGCTAAGATCTGAGGATTGTGATTCAAAGCCAGCCTGGGCAGAAAAGTCCATGAGACTCTTTAACCACCAAACAAGCCAGAAGTAATAGAGCACTAGTCTTGGGTGGAAAAGTTCAGGGACAGTGCCAGGCCCTGAATTCAAGACGCAGTACCAGCACAAAAAAACAAGGGGGGGGGGCAGTCAGAATGGCTGAGGGCCTGTCCCCTGAGCCCTTCCCAGCTGGGGTGCTGCACAGTCAGGCCTGCCTCCCACTCCCTCCCTTCCTTCCTGGGCCCTGGCTCCTGCCAGCCTTGAGTGAGCCAGGTCTGCATTCGGTGGAGTAGGGAGGACCCGGGGAGAGTGGCTGGAGCTCCAGCCTGGGGTCTGGAGCCTCAGGTGCACTTGTAGTTCTGCTGCGTCCGAGCTGTGTGACCTTGGACAAGTCACTTCCCCTTTCTGGGCCTCAGTTCCTTCTCCATAAAATGAGAAGAAGAGGTGACCTCCTGGATCTGGGAAGGCATCTGGCTCAGGCACACCTGGGCCGCTCCTCGGGGGTATGGCCAAGATGGCTAGTCAGGCCTCAGCCCCTCCCAGGGCACGTCCTTCCTGGACACAGAGTGTCATGAGATCCCAAACCATAAACCAGAATGGAAAGGCACTTGGTGCCTTGGGCTTATTGGTGGCACTGGACAGAAGAGATGATTGGCTGGGTGGGTGGGAGGGGTGGGCTCAGGGCTGAAACACAGGGACCTGCAGTCCTCCAACCTCAGACCCAGGCCCTTGTGGCCACTGCCAGCCACCGGCCCGTGTGAGTCCCGGCAGGGTGGGGTGGCCCTGTCTGGGATCCAGGCCCCCGACCCCAGGCTGATGGGGCTAAAACAGGCCTTTCCCAGGGCCTGCCGGGGTCCCGCAAGCCAGGCGTTCCAGGGCCAGCCAGACCACAGCAAGTCTGATCCAGGAGACTGGGCTCCCCTGGGTCATCTTTGCAGCACCCCAAACATCAGCTGTAGGGGAGCCCCCTCAGGTGGTCACTGGCTTTGCGGGGTGACTTAGCACCTAGGGGGCTCCCTCAGGGGAGGCCTCAGTCTTGAGTCTGAAATGCGTGGTGTGGGGGTCTTTTCCCCCCTACAGACCAGGCCTGTGGAGGGGGGCTGCGTGTCCCATCACAGAGCAGGGCAGCAGCGCATGCCTGGGGGCAGGGGCCTACGCCCGGAGTGGGGGGACACAGGCTGGGTTTGGAGATGGGGCCGGGGAACTGCTCCTCAGCCTGCCTTTAGCCACCTTGACTGCCTGAGACACGGTCACCTTTCCAAAGAGTCTAGAAACTTCCAAAGACCAGGACTGTGTCCGATCCATGGCATAATCCGAGGTATCTAATAAGTGCAGCCTGGAATGACAGGCCTAACAAGACTTCAGTGCAGGGCACAGGGCAGACAAGGGGAGACTCGTGGATCCGGCCCAGCCCTGCCACCTGCTGGCCGAGTGAGGCAGAGCAACTTGCTCACTGGCAAGGGCGAGGGGGAAAAGTCTGGCTGTGGCTATGTTGCCGTCTGACATGCGGTGACAGGATGTTATGATGAATGGTACCCAGCACACAGCACCCAGTCCATGGCCTGTAAAACTGGTACCGTGGTGCACAGTCCAAAGATGCTGAGGTGCTGTGACCCCCACCAGAAAGTTGGAGACACAGTTTCCCCCATTCCTGCAGGAGGGGCTCTCTGAGGGACCCGAGATCTGGTGTACCAGGAAGACAGGGGGAGGTTAGGAGGGGAAAGAAGGCTTCTGGGGATACTCTGAGCCAGGCCAGCCGGGGGTAGGGGCAGAGCTGCGGGGAGAGGGGGTGTGCAGGGTGAGTTCTGCTCTTTGCCTCCATCTAGCCCAGACCCCACCCCCTACTTCCTGCCCACAGTTTGCTGTCCCAGAGCTCGGAAGGCCCCACAGAGCCTCCCCATCCTCCCTTGACTCTCCTCTCCAGGTGACCCCCTGCTGATAAACAGGGCCCTGTTCACTGAGTACTGGGTTAGAGTCTGGCCCATGGGAAGTGAGCTGTGGTCATTGGGTCTGCTTGAGTGGGAGCAGCGGGTGGGCTGCTCTG